CGGGGGGGGGGGAGGTGATTTTCTTCACTGGGGACACAACGGAACCGGTGATGGGAGCGAAGATCGGCCCAGGGAAAGCGGTCCAACGATACCGGGACAATCAAGCGAAACCAGCAAAGGCGAAGTCGGAGTTTTCTTTCATTTTCCACCATACACGTGCATCTTGTTCGGCGCCAGGGAGCAACAAAAGTTCTTTTTTCTTTAACTTGTCGATTTTCTCGGAAACCTCGATCTGCGGAAATGTACATACTCGAATCAACCTACCTCCACCTCCACACACTCGGGACGCTACACAGCCCTGTTGTCTCACCTACTCTGACCATCTTTGGTTGTTCGGTGACGGCTGGTTCTAGGAGGGACTTATACTTAATAATTATTACGAAAAATGGGAGGAGTGAGGACGGAAGGGTGGGAGACTGGGGGAGGGTTGGCGAGAAAGGGTGCTATTCTTTTAATCCTTTCCACCTGTGGTTGTTCAGGAGGGTCTTTGTTATACATATACACGGAACATGACACCTGAGACGCTGTTTTCTTTTTCTCCTTTTTTTCTAGTATTGCGAGGCGGAGAAGGGGGTAGAGAGGGAATGGGAATGAATACCCTGGATCGTGGAATAGCTGAGGATATCATATAATGAACGTTTTCGATCGACGATTTTTCACTGCGCCTCGCTGCGGGGGAGAGGAGGCACTGGCAGACGGACGGCCAGTTCCTACGAAGTGTAAGTTCAGTCATGGGGTGCCAGGGGAGAGCGACCTCCAGTCTCTTCCCATCTCTTCCCCCAATACTTGGGGGCTACGAGTACGAGTAGACCCATCCCGGCAGCAGCCAAGTGATTTCCCGGACTCGAGGAGCGGAGCCGGTGGCCTCAAGGTTGGAGGGCAGACGCCTTGGCGCTCCGTTCGATATTGAGTCGGGCCGGTAGTTACTCATGAGTTACTTCGGGCTTAAAGGAGGGAGGGGGGAGATGAAGAAAAAGGGAAAAAGGGAGAAACATGTGTCTCCCAAGCCGTGTATGGAGAACACGACGGGAGAGGTTAAGGATTTAAATAAAAAGAGAATATCCCCCTTCCTCCTGCTCCTCTCCCCCCAAAGGAGGGAGAAAAGGCAAAAAAAAATTAAATGAATGGTAGCTGCGCGATTCGAACGCGCGACTCTTTCGAGACCAGAGATTTTCCCGAAAGGCTTCTAGAGTCCTTGTCGGGCGGTTTTGGGGTACCCGCATGGGCCCCGTAACTTAAATCTGGCGCCTTAACCCCTCGGCCAAGCTACCCAGGAACAGTACGTAAGCATCTGGGTTCCTACTCCTCTATATACTGGTCTACAAGTACCTTTACCTCTGGCCTTCATTACTTACTGCCCCTCACCGTTCGCGGAATGGGTCTCAAGCCTCTGACTCCCCCCCCCCCTCCGCCAAGACTAGAGAGGCTCACGTGGAGGCTTAGGCTTTTAATGGGACGGACCACTCGTTTGTTGGAAGACTTGGCATCGCGGGTGTGGTGAAGCGCTAATCTCAATCCCAAGGCGTTACTTGTCCTTGTGCAAAAATAGAGGCTCTGCGATGAAGATGAGATTGCCAGAGACATGCAGGAGGCAGCTGTCCACTTCTCGAGTCCACCAAAACATCTCAAAGTCACGATGGATCAAGGAACACAAGGAAACCACCATCCATCAGCCCACGCAGCGAGTTCAATAGACAAAAGCATTGATGGATATTCACTAAAGCAATGAAAAACGGCAAATGCAAACCCGCAAAATCCTAAGCACGCCCAGACCAAGCAAAAAAGCAATAATACTAGCCGTTCTCCTTTGCTGAACCCACCGCCCCTCCGCCCGTTACATCCCTATCCGTCCTAACCCCCGTCCCATCCCATACTACCATTGCGTTGTACTCGTAAACACCCCTATCCCGTCCCTCCCGTCCTCCCGCCAAACGCCGAATCCAGAAGCAAACGAAGAGCATGGACACACAAGGCCGGTGGTGATATAATCGTTGCAAAAGTGGAGAAGCGCTGGCCGCCTCCCCATCCGATGAAAAGGAAAGGCCGAAACCTGGTATCCGAAAAAAAAAACAAGGGCATCCGAAATCGTTCGCCGGATGGCAACAAGGGCAGTGCGGCCGGCCGAGCCCGGCCTGTTGAGAGGCGATAAGCCGGCGGTCGCTGAATCTGCCTCCGCATCCAGTCGAAAGGTAAAAACTGGGTATCGGACCCCAATGAAACAAAGAGTAGTGATGGTCAATCAAAGAACTGCGCCTGCGAGGGAAACCATGTATGAAAACTGGCAATCGTAAAACACACTCGGTCTGGCCTCATCGTAGGATCCCTTCGTAATCCCTTCCCCCCTTCCCCCGGGTCGCGAGAGACAATTATATCTCCATCCGGGATGCGATGTCCTCGCTGACGCCACGCACAGGACCACGGTCCTGGTCCAAATCCATCTCATCATCAGATGCGTCGAAGTCGTCACCGCCTGTGTAATCATCTTCGGAGAACTGCACTAGATCCCCATCCTCGCCTCTGTTCCAGAGGAAACCGTCGTCCTCATCCTCGTCGTCATAAGTCTCCGCGATCGCGGCGTCGTGCTCGCTCAACCAGTACCGGGCCCGCTTAGTCGCTCCGAGTCCTATCGCCGCGCGGCCCCCCGACAGCGCCGTCGCGACCATCGTCGGGCTCTGCGTGCTGATGACGGGCACGACGCGCAGGTATAGGTATGCCACGCGCTTGAGCGCGCGGTTGAAGAAGAAGTAGTGCACGGACCAGATGGCGCTCTCGTCGTCCTCGAACGGGTCGACGTCTGGCCGGTAGTTGAACATGGTGCACTCATCGAGGTGCATCTCCTTGTCAATCAGCGACCAGCAGTGCTGGCTCCACGATGTGCTAGCGGTGGTGCCAGCGGGGCCATCCGCCATGCCCGGGTCGCCGCTCCCGCGCACGTTCTGGAGGATGGAATCTAGGTTCGCCATGAGCCGTCGGAGGCTACGCTCGCGCTTGAAGTCGCCCGGTGCCAGGACGTTGGAGAAGTCGTAGTGCGGGTGGGAGGCGTTGAGCGTCGCTATCAGGTAGGCGAAGGTGCGTCGACTCGACAATTCGGATAGGGGGCCGAAGGCGCTTGATTGGGAGAAGAGGCTCGGGGACGTCGCCATCATGGCTGCCTTCTGAGGGGGCGATAGGCTCGCGCCGAGTTTGAGCAGCTCGGCGTGCTGGGAGTCGAGGTCGTCATTTATGTTCTTGTACAGTTTCTTGTCCGAGCCGGTCGACTTAGTCGTGTACAGATCGCATCCGCCCGTAACGTTGCAGTCTGGCGTGTTGAAATTGAGGGCGCTCGTGACGGTATCGAAAGCGGGAACTGGGAGGTACTACATTTCGCGGGGAAGCGACGAAGTTGAGCATGTGGCACGGGAGGGGAAAGAAAGGTAAGGCACGGCCTAGATGAGACCGGCGCTGGTGTCAAAAGACGTGGGCGTGAATTGCGCATACCTTCATCGTGCCGGATATTATGTTTTAGACGCCCGACAGGAGGCATCAGTAGAGTTCGTCGAATGGAGGGTTGGACTCGTGCGGATCTGGTGTAGTGATCAGATCAGCCCGATATGCGGCACACCGAGTCCGAGTTCGCGGGGGTCGAGCGTTTAGGGGATTCGGGCGTGATAAGGATGAGTTGTCGAGTTAAGTGTCAAGCGACGGATGATGCGACGACAATAATATAACGGTAGGCGTCGCGATGATTGAAGGTCGCGGGTTGAGGGTGGGAGATGGGGAGGTTTGGGAAGTGGTTGCGTGTTCGGGGTGGGATGACGTTGTGTTGTATAGTGGGTTTGGGTTTGGTGTTTGGGCGTGGGTGGATGTCGTATCGACTGCTGATACGGTAAGTCTCGGCAGGTGCGGTCTGCGCTGATACGAGTTCGGAGATCGGCAGGGATGTTAGACCATTCAGGTGCGACCGCCCAATGAGCTGGCCGATTGCCAAGATGGATGGGAGATTGGCCGGGGATAGGATGGATGTAAATTCCGCTGAGAGGTATTAGAGCAAATCGAGGCCAGTATGATATCGGGATAGACGGTATCCCCCTTTCCCCCGGTCGAGACCCAGGCGACTTCGAATGACTCCGTTAACGGGGACATCAGGCGTGCTAATTGGAGGTGTCTGCTTGGTTGGTAACACGCCATCTCCCACCCAGCAAATAGTGGTGGTCGCCTGATAGCCGGCTATCAGGACTAGTACGTACGCTTTGCGCAAAACCGCCACCAGTCAGATGCGCCACCCTCGAGCTCCTGTCCAGTAGAACGTCCCACAACCCACTTGTGCGTCCATATGATAGGCCGAAATAGTAGACCCAGAGGATCCGAGGACATTATCCAATTCCGACGGGGTTGCTTATGCGTCGTTCCTAAACTTAGTATTCGACTACCGGATCCAAGGGGTAAACGTCATCGCTCTAGGCGAATAAGGTACCCGATTAAGCGACACGTGGGGGCAAAGGTTGGCCCTGGTCTGATCGAGACTTGTCCACCGGGAGCACCTCGTGGTTTGAGCTCCTTGACATAGATGGAATCAGGAGTGACGCAGGCGAGACGTGCGGGAGGCGTGCGGAAGACACTGGCTGGCTCGGCCTCGCGAATCCCCGACGCTATTGGCATTCGGCTATCGTCCGAGGTGTTCGAACATGTCCGTGGGCCCAAGTGGAAGAGCATAGCATACAGATGCGGAAAGGGGAGGGGATGGAGAGAAGACCGTCTGGGGGACCGGGGAACGACAGGTTCCTCACAATGCTGCCCCAGAGCCTACCTTCGCACTCGGCCGAGAAGCACCCCAGCCAGCCACAGCTGTCTGATCATCCTATCTTGAGAGATGTATCGAGAATAGTTTGTCTATCCTCCAAGAAGTATACAAGTACACATGTTTCCGGCAATTAAGCCTCGCCTGATCGGACTCTGTCCTGTCCAGCCCGATCCCCTCCCAGCCGTTTCTCCACCTCTCAATCCATTATCCGTTCCTCCTATTAACTCTTCCGCCCTTGCTCGTAAGCAGACGGCAAGGTGGCGGTATCCTTCCAAGAGTAGGCGTGTCGTCTCCCTAAACTCTCACAGAAAGTGCGCCGCATTTGTTCCTAAGGGCCAGCCTCGGGGGGGCTCCCGCGTTGTCGAAAAAATGTCGTGTCGGGAAGTAGTAGATTCGGCCATCTGCCATCTTCTGACCATCATAGTATGCCCGACTCTTTGAGACGCTGTTCAACCTCCTTTGACGCCTGTTGTGTACCCCAAGCAAGCAGAGCAGGAGTTGATTAGCCAAAACGCTCCACGGTCGTAAGCATCGGGCAGATGACAGTAACTGCAAGCACTCCCTCCCCTCCCCATAACAATGCATCCACCTCCGAGATAGGAGAGTGGGCAGGGGAAGAAAAGTTGCAGCATAGCCCTAGAGGAACAAAGTCTCCGTGGCCCCTTCCTACATGATCTTGGTGACCTCATCCTCGACCTGAAAGCATCATAGCCACACGTCAGTCCCAAGGCAGAATGCTTTGCACCCCCACCCCATGCAGTTCGTTGTCGAGAACAGGGGCTGGACGAACCAGCCGGCGAATGTGAAACGGTACGGGAAGGGGGAGAGCTAATTGCGGCGGCAGAGATTCGGAACAATGAAACAAAACTCGGGGAAACACCTCGAGCTAACGTACCTCCATGTCTTCCAACGAGTCCTGCTGAGAGATACAGCGGAGGATATTCTTCTTGCTGCTCTCCTGCAGCTCGCCAGCGAGAAGGATCTCGTCGAGTATGTAGTAGGCCTTTGTGAAGGAGAAAATGATGTCGAGCTCGCATACGTTGCCGTAGTACTTGTCCATCTGCTCCACGTATCGATGGATGATCTCGAGCGTGATCAGTTCGTTATCATCGGCATCGCAGCCGGCGATGAAGAAGAGCGACGCGTATCGGCGATAGACTATCTTCGTATCTGTAACCGGAGAGATGCGTCAGGCGGGGGGGGGGGAGCGTGTCGATATGAAAGACGCCTAAAGAGGTAGCCGCACCTTTGTACTCTAGGAAGTTGCACATCCGAGTCCGCCTAGCCAGAACCAGCTGAGAAACGTCCTTGACAATCTTGCCCTTCTCCTTCGGAGATAGAGTCGTAAACCATTTCGCGAGGCGCTGCGATACCGGATACTCTAGTCAGTCACTCTGTCGGTTGAGCTTCGCCTGAAGAGGGGATACGTGTTTCCTGGAGCAACGCACAACTTTGCCCTGCCTCGAGAGCAGGATCAGGTACCTGGATAAT